CTGTACATTGCATGATGCTGTGGTTTTATAAAAGATGCTAAAATTATAATGATTTTTTTTTAATTTAATATAACTCCTACACTATTGGCAATTTCATCTTCTGAAAACAAAAACTTTATGTACGGTAATCTTTTTTTACTTTCAAGCTTCTGATATTAAAGTTTAAAATATTCATTTAAAATGAGGGCTTGTCATTTAAAATTGGATGATGCTATTTAACCTGAGTTCATCTTGATTGTATATTTATCTTCAATTGGACAGTCCTTGTACAAATATAGAAGAAATGAATCATTAATACTTGTGCACTTTAATTGTCCTTAAAAATTGTTGGTCAAGACATATCCAAAATATTGAAGATTTAATTCTACATATGTAGAATTTAAACATTTAACGTAATCTTTCCAAAGGAATAGATATGATTTTAGTGAATGTTTTTATTTTAGTAATTTTGAAAGTTGGCTGAATAAAAACTGACAATTTCTAAAAATAATTATTTTCAAAAATAGTCACTGTGAAAGAAAGAAAAGAAGAAACAACAAGTATTTCTTCAAGGTTTTTTTTATTAAGTAAAATTTTCATTTTTTAAATTTAGTTCAACAAGAAATATATTCATTAAACTGATATATTAAATTAAATGTCTACAATCAATTTAAGAAAAAATATCCTCTTTGTTTTAAATATATTCATATTCGTATCTTTTCATGTCATTTTTTGCAAAAAATAAAATCTAGTTCTTTTACTCTTCTTCCTATTTATTTCGATTCATTTGTGAGTTTTCTTTTCTTTATAAAGAAATAAAAGCGTGATTTTGACTTTTTATTCCAAGTTTTTTTTTTATTCGTATTTCAAGCAATATAATAAAATGTATTTTAAAAATATCAATTCATTTCAATCTTTTGTTTCCGTTCAGTTTCAAGTATTATGATTTTAATTTATTTTAGACTTATTATTACATTGAATAAGGATGAATAGCTTCGAACATTATTTTTTTTTTTAATTTCTTATTTGAATATATTTTATGATTTTTTAGAGACGAAATACAACTTTTTTCTCAATGCCTGAGAAATGTTTTAATTATTGTTAAAAAGTTTCTAAATTGTTATTTAAATAATCAGAAATATGAAGAAGTGAGCCGGTTTGTGAAGAAGAAAAGAATCTTACTTACCTCAAATGAACACTGCGATTCGAACATTCAAAGAACGTCTTAATATATGGTTTGATTATTCAATAATCAGCATTTAGTTTTCTATATACTTTTTATTCTACGTGTTCGAATTTCTCATTACTTGTGCAAACCACAGCCGGAGCAAGCTCGTTAAAAGGCTAATTACTTCATGATAAATATTACTAATTACCGAGGAGTTGTCTGAAACATAGCTTTATAATAGCTTTGATGTAGAGAAATGTTTTTTACTTGTAAAATTGTGATATTTCTTTTCCACTTGAGTTTGCATCACGACAAATATACTTAGCAACAAAATCTAGAATTCAACCATGTTTCGTAAAAAACATTTCCTTGAAAAAAAATCACGTATTTTAAAATTTGTTATGCTATTTATAATCATGACAATGACTATCATTACTTTGAAAATAAAATCCTAAATCTGAAACTTAGCTTCTTGATGTTAAAGTGTGACAGGACCTTTGACAAGGCAGTGATTAGTAAAATGATTCAGACGACACGACATTACAGTAATGACATCTTCAGCTCACATGACTGGACGATGTAAAATGTAAATTGCAGATAATCAAAAATAACAAGACATAATTCCATTAAAATATTAATGGTGCATTCCATATGCATATCTACTATTTTGGTAAAGAACTGGACTAATTACAGAAAAAATGAGTGTTTTTTTAAACTGAAATAACAATGAGAATCACATAAACTTGCAATAATCATTATCTAAATCCATTTAAGTGTGTCTATTTTAAAAGGATTTTAATCAGATTTGAAGTGCGAAACAACAAAAAAGAATTCAACAGAATGTCTCCTTAAAGTGCCTTACGAGTGTTCAGTAATACTTGCTTTTATATTTTGCTGATTTCTTCTGCCTCACATCGTTTTTTCTCGTAAGGTGGGCAATAACATGAGTGATGAGGTTCAAAAGGTCATTTGTTTTCACACGAATTATTAAGTTGTTTTTTAATTTCCTTTCCCCTTTGCATTGCTCAAATCCCTTGTTTTGTTTTTCCTTTTAATATCTTGAATTTTCTACTCCAGAGAAAATTACGAAAGTACATCATAAGTTTCCTAAACTCTCCACATTTAAAGATAGTATCTTCTTCATTTTTCTGTCAAAAGTTGTAGATACTTGTAGGCTTTTTGTTATATATGGGTTTTTTAATTCAAAAATATCTGCAAATGTTCTTTTTCGAATTTTAAAACATTTTTGTATTATAGTTTTCTCTAGAATAAAGTATTAGATGTATGGGATATTATAAAACTTTTATTTCAGATATGAAATGACAATATCCCTTACTTTCTTATGATAAAGGCAATTCTTTATTGATCGTCACCATATATCTTAGTAACTTCCTCTTTAGATTGATGTTCCAAGTTACTTCTTATGAAAACAGAAATCCTATATGAGTCACTGATTAAGATATTGTTATACCTTAACAATTTTTGCAATACATATCAACAATGGATTCTTTTGATTTCAAAAGATCCCAGGTTGAACATAAGCAATCGACAGAAAACATGCGAAGGAAATGCTAAGTTAATCATGAATACATCAAATAAGAAAGATACAAGTATTACCCTTTAAGAAAAATTTAATTCAGACAATAAATATTTGATTTTGAAATTGTTTTTAAAGTTTATACTACTTATTTTAATTTTGTGGAACACCATGTCTATAATATATTAACATCGACTGAATTACCATGTAGTATCCTCGTTATTTACAATCTGAGTAAATGATGATAATGGACATATTTAATTTTCACAATAATGTTATGTTAATTGTAACATATATCGAATCGATACATTTGATTATCTTAAAATTTGTCAAAAATGGGCCAACATATCAAGTGATATTATTAGTAACTGGTAATTAGAAATACATAGTATCCCCATACAACCTTTTTCACCTTACGCATATATCTGTCAGCAATATAAGTTTCAAACAACTGAAAAAATATATATAAGAGCAATTGTTTGATCAAATTGATTGTTAAAGATTAAACATCACTGAATATATGAATAACATCTCTTGAAAAATACCACTTCGTGTAGTTAGAAGTAAAAATATGACTTTTCTAAATAATTGTTTTCTTATTTCTTTTCTTCATATAGAATATCAAGTCAATTAAGAAAATAGTGATTTAATGAACTTTGCTTACATAAAGTAGGTTCAAGTTTTTATGAAATTATGATTGTATTAAATACAATGTAGCATTATAATATTCAATGCTCAATATTACATTATATTTTTGTCTCAACTACATTTTTCATTGGAATGACAGTACGCTATTGACAACTGATTTAGCTATCTAAAGATCTTTATTGGGATCATAATTAAAAGTTTTGGCTCTCTTAATTTATGACACTGTCGTTTTTTCACTATAATTTTTTTTCTGACACGTTATTTAGTACATACATGTATGTATATCGTATTTCTGATAATGCCTTCAAGAAAGGCTTGATTAATGACGTTATGACACGTTTTAATTTTCCCCCGTACTCTGATCCTAATAGGCTTTCGTACTGTGTGGTCCTTATGATTTTCATAATAAATAAAAGCGATAAGAGTCAAAGATCCAATCTATATAGATCACCCGTATTGGGGCATTTATTGATAAAGGGATTATAATAAATATTTGCATTCCTCAGTTGTTTATCTGATAAATATGTCAGTATTGCAATTTGTTTAATGTGTTTATTTATGTTTATTGGACATGTATAGTCACATACATTTAAAAACAAACAGTAATATTAACTGTACAGAATTCAACAACATGAAATAATAACATATTCTGAATATTCTATTAATCAAAGTTATGTCTTGTATGGAAAGTAAAATACTTAACAATTTTATTGACACATCTGCACTTAAAAAAATGACCTAAAATGTTTGGCAAAGAACAAAGTTGATATATTGAATCTATCTTGCTAATTAACGATCATGTATTGACTTAGAGCACAAAATCCCTGAGAAGTAAAATTACAGGGACACTTTTGTTGTTTTAAGAGGTAGAAGTAGTGAGATAATAATCTTTATATTTCAGATTAAAAATTGAGAAACAAATGCTTCAATACTTATTTGAATGAATGAATGAACGTTACGCATATTGTTTAAATACATTACTCCACTCAAACTGTCAACAATGTCTTTGAACCATAATTATAGCTCTCTCTCTCTCTCTCTCTCTCTCTCTCTCTCTCTCTCTCTCTCTCTCTCTCTCTCTCCTCTTTGTCTCCTTCTCTTTCTTTCCGATTTTATGAAACAGGTACTTAACAGATGAAGCGTTTTCTCTTATTAATCTCTCTTACAGAGACTCTTTTATTTTATTAAACGTCTAAATTACAAAATCATTTCTTTCCCCATAATTCTTCATTTATGTAAGCCAGTTTTTTAAGACTTTTTTCGATATCTTTGATCTATATTTATGAGAGGGCCGCTGACAGGTCTAAGGATCTTGTTAGTGCCTACTTAAAGTTAAATCATTCGCTGCCAGGAGACAGCTAAAAATCGTTTTCTTCTCTCAACGTTTTCGCTTTAATTACATTTTATAGATTAACATTGTTGGCATTCCATTCTTCTAATTGTTATCAATTTTAAAAAGACTTTTTCGTAGGATAGATAATTCTAACATTTCCATTCTTAAAATTATGAATTTATAAATGCAAACGTAATGTCAATCTACGTAATGCTAGAAATTGCTGAAAACTTTGGTGTGTACAAAAAAATTCCTTGGCTTTGGAGTTCCATATCCCAAGAAATTTTAAAAAAAATTTTTTGTACAAAAAAAAATATATAATTAACAATATTAATAAAATTTATAATTTTCAGTGGTGTTGTTGAAGGGCCTCTCTTGTGGCTTTTGGAATGCGTCTCAAGGCCGATTCGAGATCTCTCTTAATTATTTCCGCTGTAGTCTTATGATTGTATCTTTTAATGGGTTGTCCATCATGTGACACTAAAAATTTCTCATAATTCCAACTGACATCACTCCTACACAGGGGTTGCCAGCTGATCTCGCTTAATTCTCGCGCGATTAGACCATCGTCATCCTGTGGTAATGGCTGTTTTACCTTAAGATATTCGAACACTGGATGTGCGTGACTTCCATTAATATCAACTTTAGAATAAATTGTAAATTTTGGCTCAAACTTTAACCCAGGTCGCACGTTGTGTAAAAACAAAGGAATTTCATCGTTATCTAAAGGTTCCAATTTACCGAACTGATTGCAGGGAAAAGCCATAACGACAAGACCTTTAGATCCATATGTTGTGGCAAAGTCATTCAGCTGAAAAATAAAGAATTATTGTTATCTGTGAAATTTAGGGGGATCGAATTGTTAGAAGAGTTATATTTACGAGTAGATCTCAAGCAACACATTTTCAGTCAAACAATTTTTTCTATGAATTTATCATTCAAGCACTTAATCTGAAAAAAATGGTATCATGTAGTTTACAATAATAAAATGTTTACCTGTAGAAGTTCTTGTTTGGTATTTTTATCACAAGTAGCCATATTAACAACTAGAGATACTTTTCCATGGTACTTTTCGAAATGATCCATTTTTCCGTTCGGCATATAAGCCGATAACTCATAAAACGACGAAATTGATAAAATTGGAATAGGCTTCACTGCCATACTATTCGCTGCAGCTTTAGTCATTTTTTGCTTCAATGAAGGGGACCCGGTTGGTGAAGATTGCACGTGTTTGGAAGACCCTGTATTATGTGACGTCTTGGAAGATCCTGACGTTTTCACGGAGGGAATCTGTAGCATGTGCGAAACTTGCTTATCCATGACTGAAGCAGACGCCATGATGAAACTAGCAGTCGATTTGAAGAAATATAGAAAGTGAAGAGCTCCTCGCACCTTTCGGGGTACTTGTCATTATAAGTGAGGTAATATCGGAAATGTTGAAAATGGACCTTCCGTCCTTCAAATCAATATTACCTCTCTGATATCTGTGAGGGGAACTTTTTAAGGTTTGTTTAATTTTGTAAAACAGTATTTGGGCATAGGTTGTTGTTTTCACCATAGGCAAAATCAAATAACTCAATATTCAAGTATTTGTTGGAAAAAGAAGTGGAAGTTGGAATGAAGATGCAATTTCAAGGATTTTTATTTGTCTCGGTCCTTTAAGGGGCCTCAAAAGTGACGTGCAATGGATATTTGTTAAGGATATGTTTGCGATTATTTGAGAGTTAAACATTAGCCCCAGCTTATGCGATTACATATATTTGTGGACCATGCTTCGAGGAAGAAAACCTGCTATTGATTTAAGTCGATACAAGAGGGGGAAAACTCACAACCAAGTGCCCTACAAAAATTTGTATTATCAGACCTAATATTGACTGATCCTTTTCAAGTGCCTTTTAATTTCTTTGTTGCCTTTTACAATCAATATCCAACGTACACTGTATATCACATTTAAGACGGAGATTAACACGAGATATCAATATTTCTTTTTAAAATTCCTGATAAAGTCTATCAGTTCTCTTCTAGATGAAGCTCATTGTATTGAAGATCAATCAAGAAAACTGAGATAGGAAAAAAACAACGATCTTTATGGATCGAACATCGATTCAGTACTATGGAATGACACTAAAATCATTTGGTGTATGTGTGTCTTTGACGTAATAGGTATATAAGTCAAAATTCCAGTACATTTAGATGATATACAGAATTTTTTATGCAAACTGAATTTTATTCTTTGATATAAAATACCTTTAAAAGAAGTTTCTTTTTTACCTCTCTTATACACGATTTTTGCGATTGGCTTCAAATACAATTCAAGACAAATTTATAAAGCATTTTAGATTTTTGCTTCTAAAAGTAATTTGATTTTATTTTATACTTATATAAAAAAAATTATAATCAAAATATAATTTTTTTTTATGGATTTCAATTTGCTTTTTTTTTTCAAAATATAAATGGATTTCATTTTTTAAAAAAGAATGAAAATTGACCTTTTGATATTTTTCACAGCTTTTACGTTGACCATAAGTCAAGTTCCTCCTGTTGTTTTCTCTTTGCATTGAATACATATATTCTGTTATTGTACAATATTTATGTATATATTTATATAATAGGTACCTAGACATGATTTATACTTTATGTTCCTTATGTACCATGTTGTATGGTTTGAACGAAATAAACTGATTCTGATCCTGACAATAAGTGAATCCTTGATCGAACTCATGAATTGCAAAATTTAACTTGTCTCCTAGCATTGATAAAATAACGCACTTTTAAAATGTGCATTTTCTACTAATTAATTGGTGCAGGTAATGGAATAGTTTTGCTGGGAAATAGTTGGTCTGTCTCTTAAAATGTAGAGTGGGTCCCACCTTTCTTTCAGAACCCCGGCGACTTAACATATTTGAAAATTTTAAGCATTTTTATTCCACCTTATATGTAGATAAACATATATTAATCCGTTTTCATCTTGCAGTTTCTAAACACGTAGTATAGGTGTGTTGAAAATTATGTAATAATTTACATCATTAATTAGATGATAAATTAACATATTTTTTGTAATTCTAAATTTGAATTAAAATATTATTGGTGTAAATACAGTAATTAGCTCTGTATAAGTTATTGTTACATAATAATTTAATGTTGACTACATCATTATACATAATCTTAATTGGGGTTAATTATTAAAATTACAGAGGCGACAAAGTACACAATACTTTTTTTCTATGTTATGTATTTATAAGTAAATTACACTAATGAAGGAAAATCGTGATATTATTGGAATATTAATTGAATATTGCTTTACTGAGAATCTGGGTGATTTGAACATTATCAATTATGGATTAATTGTTATTTAAGAACAAAAAATTAGTTATACCTTAAAACACAAAATCTTAAGGTTAGACTAGTACTATACTCTAATGTTAAGTTTTAACATCATCATAATCAATTCATATATTTGTGCGTTTAAAATTAAAGTTCAGAAGATTTTCTGGACCTCCTTTAAAAAGAGAAGGAAATTGCCCAAACTCCAAAATCCTATTTTTTCGTGGGGGAGGGGTTATAGCCAACTTTTTTTCAGTTCCAACTCCTTTCAATACCAATTTTCTTTGATATTGAACAGTACATTTCCCTGTTTTTTATGTCATGTAGTATTAAGTGGGGGGGGGGGGGGGCAACCAGCCTTTCAATGTACATTTGCTATAGTAAAAGTAATGTTGGGGGAAAAAGGGGGGCAGCCCCCCCCCAGGCCTCCCTGTTGCTATGTGCCTGTAACCAGAATATGGAATCAAACTTGAAATAAAGGTAGCAGGTTTATTCCCTTGTAATGACAAAAACGTCGACGTTTCTCAACTGAAATAGCAATAAAAAAAATTTAAATCTTCTAAGTATGTTAAAGTTCAAGATGAAAAATGTTTACAATTAAACATGTAGGTAACAGGTCAAATTTATTATGAATATGAGATTTTTTAAAAACGAGTACAGACTGTATCTTATGGTAATATGTTTTAATAAATAATATTGAAACTGTCGGAGAGTTCGTTGAGCAAAGAGAAACAACTAAGTGAAAAACTTAATAAGCTATACTGAAACTAATATAAGTTATAAACCTTTTAGTTTATGGATAGAGGATACCTTGATTTGTAGATAGATATTGAATTCATCCTTCCCCCACATATTCTTATTCTTCTTAAAATTTTCCTTTTTTTTTTTTTGTTCTTTGTTTTTTCTATAATTTTTTTCTTCTTTTTTTGTTCTTTGTTTTTTTCCATGATTTTTTTTTAATTAAATTTTATTGTTTTCTCTTCCCACTGTTTTCCGCCAATTTTCCTTCAATTATGTACTGTTTAATTCTTTTAATATTAGTTTATAAATATATGTCTTTGTAGAAGTCAAATATGTAATTTGTACCTTGATCTCAAATGGAAAGAACTAACATAGGCCGTTGGCCTGCTGTTCAATCCATGTTCATTGTATACTTTTTTGTATATTATGAATAAAATACTTCTTAAACTAAATTCATCTCACGAATGGTACAGGATTTTTTTTTCTTTATTTACCACAAGCGAAAATATCAAAACATCTTTTCTCACGATTAAAATAAATAGAGAATTTTCAATGTTTTCTAGTTGGATATTGAATTTATTTCAAGAGTGGAACATGATTTTTGAATTTTTGGCAAAGCAAGAGTTAAAAATAGTTTTTTTAAATCCTGTCGTACGAGACTACAAACCATTGACTTTTCTGTCATAATTATATTTTCTTTGATTTTCATTCTGTGTTTGTCTATTTGTAACATATTGGCATAAATTACATAAAATCATAGTTGTGCGGTTGTAACGCCATAGCAGCATGATATTGATAATATACTTTAACATGGATTTCAAAAGTATATTTGGAGAAACTTTAGAAGATTTAGTCTCTTTGACAATGGTTGATCAAAAACTCTATATTGAATAACAGACCAAAGCGTATTATCTACAACACTGTTTTGCAGTGCTTATTTTCTGTCACATTTTAAAGGATATCACTTCGAAAACCTTTTACACTATGACAAAATTTCACAATACTTATGGTGGAAATTCCATCAATATTCGAAATTTAATCATGTGTGTTATCTTCCTCATGCATGTTTGTACCTTGTTATTACTTTTTGTCCCCCGCTTGAAAAGTGGGGGATATTAATTTGGGTTTGTCCGTCCGTCCGTCCGTCTGTCACCACGTTTCCACACGATATCTCGAAACCCATTGAGCTTTTGCAATGAAATTTAGCATAGCAACTTATGGACTAAAAAAGACCCCTATTGATTTTGAGGTCAAAAGGTCAAAGGTCAAGGTCATAAATAAGCAAAGTCTGTCTGTTATAACACTTTCGTTTCCACACGATATCTCTAGAACCATTTGAGCTTTGCAATGAAATTTTACATAACAACTCCCTGTGGCCTAGGGAAGACCCCTATTGATTTTGAGGTCAAAAGGTCAAAGTTCAAGGTCGTAACTTTATACATTCTATATGTGTGTAACACTATCATTTCCGGGCGATATTTCAAGAAGATTTTGAGCTTATTAATTTTATACCAAAACTCCCTAGGACCTCTCTCACCCCTCTAAAGTGCCCCGCCCCGTTTGTTTTATTAGTATTTATATTACTTGTCGCTATTTTTAGCACAGGGGCGTGCGGAGAGTTATTGCGTTAAAACAGGTTCTCGGCGGAATGTTCTTATAACATCTATTAGAACTGTTTAATAAAGGGTAAATAAATCAAACACCATGGATTGTGTAAAATTTTGACAATATCGAGCATGAATATATACATGTACGTGACTTCACTTCTGCATTTACGCAATGGGATTTAAAGAGCCTCAGCTCCGTGGTCTATTTCAAAAGTGAGAGGTTAAACCCTATTTTTTTTTTATTTTTTTTTTAAATGATAGTATTCAGCATGTGAAGAATTTATTTGAAAATCATTATTACAGTGTGATAAATATTCCATATAAAAATAATCTTCTTACACATGATAAGCAATCAAATCTTTATACGCATTGACATACATGTTTTTATTTGCATCAGTATACATTATATACATTTAATAAGTAACATATTCTCTGAATTAGCAATTCAAATACTATTTCATTTTTAAAAAGTTGGGGGAGCTTATAATACCCTCGGCGTTGTGTCGGCGTCGGCGTCGGCGTCCACGTCGGCGTCGGCTTCCCAGGTTAAGGTTAAGTTTTTTGGAGCAGTTTTCTTTTTAAGTACTTCTATGTCCTATATTGATTAGACATGCATGGAAGATGGTTCTGGTGTGTTTCATTGTACCAGTCAAAGTTTCAGATGCTGCAATTTCAGCAATGACCAGGTTAATGTTTTTGAAGCAGGTTAACATTTTTGGTGCAGTTTTTGGTGTAGGTTTCATTTCCAAGTAACTATAATCCCTATGTTGACCAAACTTGCATGGATGATACATCTAAGGATTACTACCGGGCTTGCATGCTGAATCTGACCTACATTTTCCGGTTGAGTGAACAGGTTAAAGTTTTTGGTGCAGGCTTCATTTCCAAGTCTATGAGACTTTGGATGAACATCTAAGGATGCATACAACCGGGCTTGCTTCGGAAAACCTACTTTTCCGGTTGAGTGAACAGGTTAAAGTTTTTGGTGCAGGTATTGAAGTAACATATTCCCTACGTTGACCAAACTTGCATGGATGATACATCTAAGGATGGAACACTTGCTTCGGATGCTGAATTGAGTGAACAGGTTAAAGTTTTTGGTGCATTTCATTTCAAGTAACTTGAGACCTACGTTGACCAAACTTGCATGGATGATACATCTAAGGATGCATACAACCGGGCTGGCTTCGGATGCTGAATCTGACCTACATTTTCCGGTTGAGTGAACAGGTTAAAGTTTTTGGTGTAGGTTTCATTTCCAAGTAACTATGAGACCTATGTTGACCAAAC